TCTTCCAGGAGTGACTGTTTGCCTCTTAAACAAATTTAACTGCTCCCCACACCTTTCAAACATCAAGCTGGCCTCCAGACCCCTAATTTAAGCAGTTCTACGTCACCCAAGACTTCACTGGAGCGGTCAAAGAGCTATTTATTTCCACCCCTCCTGAAACAAAAACTTCCTAAGGGAGACCGAAAACACCCAACAATGAAAACAGCAACAATCCCTTTTAAAAGAAAAAAAGAAGAAAAGAAAAAGAGAACAGTTTGTCCGCTGATAAAACCCTAAAAACCATAATAAAAGCTAGTACAAAAGCAATTGGACTTGTTCGTAAAAGGCAATTTCAAGGGGAAAAAATGAGAGGAGCCACAATTCACGGCCACAATGTGGACACATTTACATTTCCACCAGCAGACTCTGCTAACGCTAATTTGACTGATGGCTGTTGTGGGTTTTTCGGGCTGTTTGGCCGTGTTCTGGAGGTTTTTCTTCCTAACGTTTCGCCAGTCTCTGTGGCCGGCATCTTCAGAGGACTGGAGTCGGAACTCTGTCTGCGCTCTGGTGCAGTTTTGTGGGATAGTTGAGTATTTATAGCTGTGGGATCTGCTTTTTTGTCCTTTTTACACCGGATCTCCTGAAACACATATGGACTCCTTCTGTTTTTGAGGTACGATGGGCAAAACTATCAAAGAATTTACTGGACGAAAGTGAGGTTAAGGTCTCGCTTTCTAGATAAGCTTTTGACTGACCAGTGGAAGTGTCGTTAGGGAATGCTGTACACACCTTTGTTTCCCATGTTTCTAGAGGGTATATATTTTCAAGTGCGTTTAAATGGCAGCTTTCACTATTATCCATTTAATTATTTTTTAAATATTTTAGTTCACTGTGTTTTTATCAGGGTTTAGTATGCTGTTTTAATGGATGGGAGCCATCTCGGTTCTTTTATAGTTATGGCTCCCAACCTTGGGTCCCCAGATGGTCTTGGACTAAAACTCCCAGAAGCCTTTTCACCACTTAGCTGTGCTGGTCAGGATTTCTGGGAGCTGCAGTCCAAGAACACCTGAGGACTCAAGGTTGGGAAACCACTGCTTTATGGGGAGCATGGCAACATATCAAGGAAATACAGTCGTGTCTCGCTTTACGATTGCCCCGTATAACAGCGAATCTGCTTAATGATGCCTTTTTTGCTATGGGCAAAATCCGTGACAAATCCGCTTAACGATGCCTTTTTTGCTATGGGCAAAATTCGCTGTGCGATGATCAGTCCCCTGCTTCGGGAACCGATTTTTCGCTGATCGTCGGGTTCCAAAATGGCCACTGGCTGAAGAAAATGGCCCCCTGCTGTTTTCTAGGACTGATTCCTCGCTAGATAGGCACCGAAAATGGCCGCCGTATGGAGGATCTTCGCTGGACAATGAGTTTTTAGCCCATTAGAACACATTAACCGGGTTTTAATGCATTTCAATGGGTTTTTTATTTTTGCTTTACGATGTTTTCGCTCTACAGCGATTTCGCTGGAACGAATTAACATCGTTAAGCGAGGCACCGCTGTACATAAGGAGTGTTCTCATAATCATGGAAAAACTACTGCAGAGTATGGCAACAAATTTATCAAGCTCTTCTTTGATTCTGTGAAAGTTATGAGAAGAGCTGTTCAGACAATCATTTCAGGCAGTTTTCAAACTGAGCCTCTGGGCAGCTCCCATACAAGAGGTGATGGAAGCTACAGAGCTGTAGCATGCAATGAGCTGGCAATGGAAGTCACTGTTCTTTTTGGTGTGTTAATTTGGGCTGTTCCAAGTATTTTACCTATTCTACTGCAATAATGAATTTATCCCATCTTCATCAACACCAGTTATGCATCTATACATCCAACTTTCCCTCCAGTAAGGTCAAAGCAGCATACATGACTCTCTCCCTGCTTCATACTCATAGCAGTACAGCAACATAGATCTTATGCGCACTGCATTGTTTTTATCTGAACTTACGCTTGCAAAGCGCTTCTCCCTTTTGATCAAACAAATTGGCGTCTGTGAGCAGCTTCAGATGCGCACTGCCATGAAAAAAATGGCTGAAACCCTGTTCTGTAACTTAACGTGTTTATAAACATCCTAACAGCAGTGGTTTTTGGTAACTAAAGACTTCCTCCTCCTGTACTGCGGCTCCCACAGCTTCCTAATGATGAAAATGTATTACATGGTACTGATCAGCAGACTGGATTCGGCACCATGTGACTACATCTCAGGGAAACAATGCAGAAGAACAGAGAAAGCTTTGAAATGTCTAAATGCAGAATTATTACTAGTGTAACATCCCCACCCACCCCCAAACCATTACAGAAGCCTTGCTTAGTTGTTTGCCAGTGGGGAATCCAGTGAAGTGCAAGTTGCATTACAGTTTAAGATAACAGAGCAGGCAAGGGATACTGGAGTAAAACTCCCATCACCCTAGCCACAACAGCTGATAGGAGCTACAGCCCAACAACATCTGGAGAGAAAATCACTCCTCATCCCTGCTAAAAAGTTACCATTCCCTTATCTGGTTCCCCCCCCCATCATGTACTGGATTACACCTCCCATCATGCCCAGCATTGGCCATGCTGACTAGGTCTTATGTAGGTTATAGTTCAGAACACTAGAAAGACACCAGGGCTGCCAAATCCAACACATATGGCAGGCACTAGATTGACAGAAGGTGATCTCTGTCCTTCATCACAGCAACTTCCCTCCAGCCAATTCTTGATTTTCTTTTTCTTCTTTTTCCTTATTCTTTATCTTATTGTAGCTGTTGTATTATTATGTACCTGTTTGTGTTTTTATTGTCTGATTTTATATTGGAAGCCGCCTAGAGTGGTCTGGTGGTCGAGATAGGCGGGTTATAAATAAATAAATGAATGAATGAATGAATGAATGAATGAATGAATGAATGAATGAATGAATGAATGAACGAATGAATGAATGAATAAACAAACAAACAAACAAACATGAAGCTCTCGCCCCTTAAATAAACCTCTTAAAACATGTGCAGTAAATCTGCAAATTTGAGCAACACAAAGGATGCTATGCAAGATGCATCTCTCACGTCAGAAGCAACTTGAGAATGAAAAGTACATTTAACAGAAATTCAGAAGTCTCAAAACGAGCAGTCAGGTCCTGAACTCCCCCCCTGAAACATATGTTTTGAAATGTATGCCCGAAAGACGGGTCTTCCCGAAACACAAGTTGTTACTCCCTGAGCCTCCTCAAGAGAAAACTGAATGAATGAAACACCAGGACCATTTTCTGAGATCCCAAAGAGAATATTTCTCATCAAGAGACAAAGACATGATCAAACACGGGCAAACAAATTC